TAAGAAGAGGAAGAAGAAGAAAAAGGTAAAGATACAAATTATGAACAACAAATACACATCTATCAACAAGTGAATCTAAGAATCAAGTGAATAAATAATCTGATGAACAGAATAAACTGGTGATTATAATAGAATCAGGGGCATAGAAAGGGAGTGGACTGACTATTCTTGCGGGGAAAGGGGTGTGGGGGATGCAGGAAGAGACTGGACAATAATCGTGCACCTATGGAGGGGCGGGGGGGTTGTTGGCGGAGGGTTGGGTGGGAACCGAGTGGAGAGGAGCTATGGGGGGGAAAAAGAGGAACAACTGTAACAATCTGATCAAGAAAGATTTAATTTTAAAAAAAAGAAAGGTTTATACAAAGGAGGAGTCCCGCAACAAGGTAAGGTTACTTCTACATAATTCAGATAGGCGCAGCGGCAGGGCACGGGATGGTTGTGAAATGGAAGAGAGGGTCAGACTCAGTCAGAGCAGAAAGAAAATACTAGTGTAGGGCTGGCCTCATGTATGGATTAGAAACAGTACAACACAGTACACTGCTAGGGCTGTGGTGAGCCACCAGGAATTGATGTAAGCCAGCTAGTGGGCAAAAAGGTCCAAACTTGGGAAGGTGGGGAGGCCTCCACCTGGCACACTGTGGGAGGCTCCAGATGGCAGATGTGCTAAAGGGCACGGGGACAATGATACAGCAATCTCAGCTGCTTAGTTGGATAGAAGAGTCCTGGCCAGGGGGGATGGTTCAAGAGCTCAGCATGATGTCAGGTCCAGACCAGAACTGAAGTACCAAGCAGAACATAGGTGGGATGATGGGACCATCACAGCTGGCAGTAGAACCAGGTGGTACCTCTGAGGCATATGAGCAGCTAAGGCTCACCTGAGCCTGGGGGTCATGGCAGCAGGGACAGGTTTGAACCCCACCGAGTGGTGGGTGTCAACCAACCAGTGCCCTAACCAGATGGCCCCAGTGGCTGCAGGGGGAATCCCTCCCACCACAGCTCCAGCTGATTGAAGTGGGGAGGTGGATCCCGGCAGTTGGGCTGAAGATGCCTAATGCCAAGATGCCCATGAGAAAAAAACAGGGCTTATTAATTTGTTAGCAGCGGTTCCATATCAATTAAATGAAAACATAATTTTCTGGCTTCCTTTATCTTCTCTCTGAAAGGAAGATGATGTGATCAGCATCTACTTCCCTGTCCTTCCCAGTCCAGGACTGTGGGGAAGCATGGGACTTGGTTGGAAAGTCTGTAAGGAGGATTCTCCGAAAGGTCAGGGGCCTTTAGGGGAACCTTGCCGGAGGCGGCAGCCCCTGCCTTGACTTTTCCAAACAAGTCCGAGCCCCCAGGTGTTTTACTGGAATCTCTATGCTTAGTCTTTAGACATGACCTTGTAGAAGCATGTGCTTTCTCAAGGATACTTACCCTGCTGATAGTATCTAGAGCAGGGGTGGGCAAACTTTTTGACTCGAGGGCCACAATGGGTTCTTAAACTGAACCAGAGGGCCGGAACAAAAGCATGGATGGAGTGTTTGTGTGAACTAATATAAATTCAAAGTAAACATCTTTACATAAAAGGGTATGGTCTTTTTTTTTTTTAGTTTTATTCATTTCAAACGGGCCGGATCCGGCCCGTGGGCCGTAGTTTGCCCACGGCTGATCTAGAGGTTAATTTTAGTTCAAGCTATTGCTACAATAAAAGCCTAAGGAGGCAGGTGAACAGGGCTGTCTGGTTCCTTTAGCCAGGCAGTCCCTTAGCCCTCTCTTTCACAGAAATGTGTGTCAGAGTAATCCATTCATCCATCATTCAGGGTCTGCTGGTCAGTCCTGGCACAAGACCAGCAGAGGCCCCACCTCCCCTGGCTCATTCCACTCTACAGAGCCTCACTAATGGGCTCCCTCCATGACCACCATCCAGCACCAATAAGCTCCAGGGGCAGACACCAAGAACACCCTGAGGAGGCAGGTAGAAGAGCCTGGCCTGGAGTCACAAGACCTAAATTCCAGTCCTGGTTTCATCACGAATTCACTGCCATTGTTGGGTATGGTGCCCACGGGTCTGTCACTCTGCCCACCTGCACGCCAGCTGTTTTCCAGGCTCTCCTCCTGCTCTCCTCTGATCTTCCACACAAGTGTGCTGAGTATCAGGCCAGGTGTGCAATGTGCCAGGACAAAAGCAAGAAGGCCTCCACCTCTTATCTCGCCAACCCTTTCATGATGCTGCTTCTATCCACACTGCTTAGTTGGGTGGAAGAGTCCTGCCAGGGGGAGCGGCCCACGAGTTTGGCATGGTGCTGCACGGGAGGAATAGAAACGTCAGGAAGTGGTGTCAGACTCTGATAGTCACCTTGAGTCATGTGAAGTGGCAGCTGTGGCGCTCTCTCAGAACCACTGCCAGGCCACGTGTGGGAGGCTGCCCACGGCCACTCATTCTGGAGAAGGAACCTCATGATGGGAGCCCCCAGTCATGAACTGATTGGTACAGTATACAAAGCTGACCCCTTGCCTAGAGGTGGTTCAGCTCTGCAGTGTGGTTTATGTTCCAAAACTTCTCCTAAACTTTATCTGAGACTACATCCTTGCTCAGCCCCAGCCCTTCCTCCTCCCTGTCCTGCTTCCCTCTCCCTTCCAGCTTTTTCCTGAAGAACAGTCTTAAGTCACTTTCACAAGAACATCTGCCTCTGGTCCTGCTTCCAAGGACTTGATCTAAAACAGTGTGCCTTTAGTGCGTTGAAGGCCCGGAGCAGGATGTGGGCATGGGCTAGAAGGGGTCAATGGGGGAAGGGGAGGAGAAGGGACATCTGTAATACTTCCAACAATAAATATTTTTAAAAATAATAAAAAGAAAGGAAATGCCCAGCCAGCTTGGCTCAGTGGTTGAGCATCAACCTATGAACCAGAAGGTCCTGATTTGATTCCAGGTCAGGGCACATGGTTACAGACTCGATCCCCAGTAGGGGGCGTGCAGGAGGCAGCCAATCAATGATTCTCTTTCATCATTGATGTTTCCGTCTCTCTCTTTGTCTCCCTTCTTCTCTGAAATCAATAAAAATATATTTTTTAAAAAGAAAGAAAATGGGGAGAACCAAGATGGCAGCGTAAGGTACAGACCTGTGCGTGCTGCCTCCCACAACAACATCGAGACTACCAACTATAAAACAAACAGTTATCATTCAGAACCATGGGAAAGCTGGCCCAGTGGAAGCTCTACAACTAGAAGGAAAGAAAGAAGAGCATTGAGACTGAGTAGGTTGTGCAGAGGCTCCAAGAACGGAGGTACAGAGTGGCGCGCCAGGCGGGCTGCAACTGGATGTGCATTTTTTTTCAATCGGAAGGGGCTGCAGACTCTCGAATCCACTGAGCTTGTTTGGGGCAGAATTCTGAGTTCCCAGACTCCTATGGGGAGAGGCAGAATGGCCTTGCAACGGGCTGGAGAGCAAGAGTGGCTGTCTCATGGAGCTGCCCGCCGGCACTCAGGGACACAGGGACCTGGAGTTGTAGAGAGGTGAGGAATCGCGTAGAGGCGAGGAGTCATGGAGACGCCATTGCCCTTGGCCCCGCCCTGGTGATTCGCCAAGAACAGAGGTGCGGAGTCGCATGCCAGGCTGGCTGCAACTGGATGCGTGGTTTTTTTCAATCAGAAGGGGATGCAGACTCTCAAATCCACTGAGCTGGTTTGGGGTGGGATCCTGAGGTCCCAGACCTCTACGGGGAGAGGTGGGACGGCTTTGCAATGGGCTGGAGAGCTAGAGTGGCTGTCTCGCGGTGCTGCTTGCCGGCACTCGGGACGCGAGATGCGGAGTCGCGGAGAGGAAAGGAGTCACGGAGATGCCATTGCCCCTTGCTCCGCCCTGGTGATTCCCGGTGACCCCGCCCTACTCAATTTACATCCTCACCCAAGCTGTGCTAGTGAAACAAAGAGAACCACTGGTGTTTTTGCAGCCCAGCCCAGCAGAATGCAGATTTCAACTCCTCGCATACATAAGGGACACACTCAAGAAGCAGAAGCAGATTTGGAGGAAGCTGGAGCTGGACCCGGCTGGGCCGGCGACGTGGAACCACTGTACCAGCAAATGCACAGGCAGGCCCACCAGATCCAGTCTCACATGGGACGCTGGGAGACGGCAGAGGGCAATCTGTGTACTTAGTAGAAAATGAAATCCAAGCAAGCATACCAGATATTCAGCCACCAGGAACGCCTGAAGATTTTGTCCAGCAAGGAGACGCCCAACAAAGGACAGAATGCCAAACTTCGTGTTGCTGAGACAGCCCCTGTGAGGCTGAGATGGCCCCCGTGGGGCCGGGACGGCCCCTGAGAGGCCGGGACGGCCCCCGGTGAGGCAGAGGCGGCCCCGGAGAGGCTGGGACGGCCCTGGTGGGGGTGGGATGGCCCCAGTGGGGTTGAGATGGCCCCGGTGAGGTTGAAATCAGGCCCGGTGAGGTTGAAATGGGCCCGGTGAGGCTGAAACGGCCCCAGTGAGGCTGAGACGGCCCCGGTGAGGTTGCGACGGCCCCGGTGAGGTTGCGACTGCCTCGGTGAGGTTGAAACAGCCCTGGTGAGGTTGAAACGGCCCCTGTGAGGTTGAGGCGGCCCCTGTGAGGTTGAGGCGGCCCCTGTGAGGCTGGGACGGCCCCTGTGAGGCTGGGATGGCCCCTGGGAAGCTTAGAAAAATACCATATGAACTCACTCATTTATGGATAATAAGGACCATTATAGACTGATGAACAAAAATGGATACAGAGGCAGAGCAGCATTGAGCAGACTGTCAAGCTACAGTGGGAACCCTGGGGAGGGTTGGGGGGTGTGTAGAAGATCAACCGAAGGATTTATATGCATGCATATGAGAATAACTAATGGACACCCCCAGTGCGGGGTGGGGGAAGCTGGGGGAATGTCAAGGGGGGAAAAAAAGGAGACATGTGTAATACTCTTTGTAATACTTTAAGAAATTAAAAATAAATACTAACCTGAAAAATAAAAAAAAGAAAAATGTAAAACACAAGCATTAATTGCCAATTTAATTTATTCAGTATCGTTCAGTTAAGCACCAAGGGTGACAAGCATGCCTTCAGGGTCCGGTTAAGTAATGAAAGTAAGTAGAGTGGGCAAGGTGAGGACTTTGTCACATGGAAGTGGCTGTGTTGTTTAAAGAAGGAAGCTGTGGGCCCTGGCACATGTGGCTTAGTTGGTAGGAGCGTATCCATACACAAGAGGTTGCAGGTTCAATTCCCAGTCACATCGAAGTTTCTCTTTCTCTAAAATCAATAAAAATGTCCTCAGGTGAGGATTAAAAATAAGAGGGAAACTGTCAGAATATGGGTTTAAGATGGCTAGATCTTCAAGTTTTTCAAGAGAAGGTGCCAATGGGCATTGCATATGAAATCTTACGATTTTTAAATGTTGGCAACTAAGTCAATTTTTAAAAAACACTTCGATTGCTCAAAATAAATGCAGTTCAGATATAATCCAGAATCTGTAAGTTTGCAACCTGTATCCTGCACTGTGTAAAGTACAGTCCTGTGTACTATAGGAAAAATATTAGAAATGATGGCAGCCTTCAGAGTCATAAGCTATTGGTGTCGGAGGCCAATTTACACAAAGAAAATATGTATATATACATCTGTAATATATATTATAGATGACACGAGGTATTTTTGTATTCTTGGTGTTTTTAATTGCAAGCAACAGAAACTGACTGGCTCGTTTAAACAGAAAAGAAACTCACGAGAAGGATATTGACAGGATCGCTGGATGTAAGTATAAATGGAATCCAAGCTCTCAAGCTGCCGTCTTCCAGCTGGCTCAGGAGCTGTGTATTCCACGGTCACTGTTTCATAAAGCCGCCACTCTGGTTATTGGGGTCCCCAACAGAGCTAGCAAATCTGACAGCCAGCCTCTTCTTTCGCTAAAGTTAGTCCCTTGGTCAGAAACAAACAAACTAACAAAAACCCCAGTGTGCCTTTAACAAATGAAAGGAAAATGCCATGGATGGGTAAACCATGGATGGGGCCAAACATGTATGGGAGTACGGGAAGTAAATGCCCAGATTCATTCTGAAAAAAAGAAAATAGAAAGGCTTCCACAGTCAATCTGTGGGGGAAGAAAGCAGAGAAAGGCCAGCTTCCTGTTTGTCCCTGGAGGGGAGTAAACTGAGTCTTTTCCTGGTATTAAAACCCCAGTTTTCCTGATTCATTTCCCAAGCATTGCGGGGTGAGAGCTTCCAAAGTAAGGATCCGTTGCGTTTTCTTGAACAGCACCAGCCAGTGGCTCACCTGACTCATGCAGGGGCCCCTTCAATGAAACTCCAAGAGTGAATGTGATCCTTTTCCTTTTAGAGACTAGGCTGGTCTGTTAAGAGTCCAATTGGAAAAGGCTATAGAGGCCAGCACCAGCCAGTCGCCCAGCCCACAGTGGCCTCTCGAGTCCCAACTGGGGTGACCTGGGGAAAGTCCTGCCTGACACGAAGCCCTCTTGGGCCCATGCACTGCTCTCAGGCACGTCAATCAGAGGCCGGAGCATGGTGGTTAACAGCACACATTCTGGACCAACATGCACACGTTTTATTCCTGGCTCTGCCTCTTGATGTCTGCGTGGACCTGCCTCAGTGTGGTCCTCATGTCAAATTAGGGGCTCACGTGTAATTAAAGGCATTGATACAGGGAATGAGCTGAGATGTGTTTGGCACATGGAGAGGATCAATACAGGTTAATTTACTGTTAGCATAGTGCATAACTGCTCATTCGAGGGCACTTGGGCCACCACCATAAGTGCTGTATGTATCTGAGCACAACACTTAAGCACTTCCAGCTCTTAAACTCAAGGTTCAGTAGGAAGCCCTGCCTTTAAAGCCATTTCCGGAACTAAAACTAGTGAGTCAATACCTGCTAATGTCAACTTTGAGCTCAGTATGCTTCCAGTTCCAGGCCCTGAACTGTAATTGTAACCGGACACTTTCTTCATTTATCCATACAAGACTTGTGATGGGTAATTTTGTTTCAACTTGATCAGGCTACTGGGTGCCCAGATATTTGGTTAGAGGATTCTGGTGTGTCTGTAGGGCATTTGTGTATGAGATTAACATGAGTAGGTAGACTGAGGAAAGCAGACTGCCCTCCCCAATGTGGGTGGCTCTTGTCCAATCCATCAGGGTCTGAATAGAACAAAAAGGTGGAAGAAGGGAGAATTTACTCTCTCTGCTGGACTGTGTTCAAGCTGGTACGTTGGTCTTCTGCCCTCAGACTGAAGATTCACCACCCACTCTGCTGGGTCTCCAGCCTGCAGATGGCGAATCATGGGACTTCTCAGCTTCCATAATCACATGAGCCAATTCCTTGTAGCAAGGAAGATTAGATAGGTAGGTAGATAGATGGTAGGTAGGTAGGTAGGTAGGTAGGTAGACAGATCTACTACTGGTTCTGTTTCCTCTGGAGAACTCTCACTAATAAACAACTACTGCATGTCCCTCAATCAAAGACACTGAAACAGGGATTTGTTAAACAAACAAACAAATATTCAGGAGTGTGATTCATTTATTTTTAAAGGGAGAAAGACAGTAGGGATAAAACTCTGGACATCCCAAGGCAGTATGTTTCATTGTTTTATGGTCTCTCTCTCTCCTTCCAAAGGCTATGTCCTTACCAGAGATGAACTCTTGCCACCTCCCTGCTACCATGGCAGCCAAGCATTCACAGTTGAAATTAACTTTCATTTTAAAGGCAGAGTATTGAGTGCAAGAGGGACCCAATGCCCATGGCTTCGAGTAGCCCGCTCTTCCTTCAAATCCAGGCTCCATTACTTACTTGTTGCACAACTGAATCCTTACCTAAATGATTCATTCTCCTCCTTAATATGATAACACCTCCATTTCTTTTTTTTTTAAATTTTTTAAAATATATTTGATTGATTTTAGAGAGGAAGGGAGAGAGAGATAGAAACATCAATGATGAGCATCATTGATTGGCTGCCTCCTGCACGCCCCCTACTAAGGATCAAGCCCGAAACCCGGGCATGTGTCCTGATTGGGAATCAAACGGTGACCTCCTGGTTCATAGGTCGACACTCAACCACTGAGCCACACCAGCCAGGCTGGTGATGCCTTTTTAGATAGGTATGATCCTTGAAAGAAAGAATTAATAAGGTGGACTTCATTAAAATTAAAAATTTCTGCTCTGTGAAAGACAATGTCAAAAGAATGAAAAGATAAGCCAGAGACTGGGAGCAAATATTTGCAAAAGGCTCATCTGATCAAGGACTATTATCCAAAATACTCAAAGAACCCTTAAAATTCAACAATAAGAAAACAAACCTGGTTAAAAAATGGGCCAAAGACCTTAATAGACATCTCACTAGAGGAGATACAGATAGCAAATAGGCATATGAGAAGATCTATATCATATGTCATCACAGAAATACAAATTAAAACAACAAGATACCAGTCTATACCTATCAGAGTGGCTAAAATCCAGAACACTGGCATCAGCAAATGCTGACAAGAATGTGGAACAACAGGAACTGTCACTTAGTGCTGGTGGGAATGCAAAACAGCACAGCCACTTTGGAAGACAGTGTGACAGTTTCCTACAACTAAGCACACTTTTATCATGTGATCCAGCAATTTCACTCCTTGGTATTTACCCAGATGAGTTAAAAAATTTAGTTCCACACAAAAACATGCACACAGATATTTATAGCAGCTTTATTATTTTCTTTTTTTTAAAAAATAGCAGCTTTATTCATAATTGTCACAACTTGGCAGATTCCTTCAGTAGGTAAAATAAACTGGTACATCTAGAAAATGAAATATCATTCAGCAATTTAAAAAAATGAGCTATGAAGCCATGAGAAGACATGGAGGAAACTTAAATGCATATTACTAAGTGAAAGAAGCCCATCTGAAAAAGGCTATCCACAGTATGACTCCAGTTATGGCATTCTGGAAAAGGCAGTAAGATCAGCAGGGCCTGGACAGTGTGCCTCGGTTGGAGCGTCACCGCATACACCGAAAGGTGGCGAGTTGGATTCCCAGTCAGGACATATACCCAGGTTTCAGGTTTGATTCCCTGTCGTGGTGCATGTGGGAGGCAGTCGATCTCTCTCTCTCTCTCTCAAAAATGTAATAACTTTTTTTTTTAATTAAAAAAAAAAAAGATCAGCAGTTGTCAAGGATTGGAGGGAGGGAAGGATGAATAAGTGAAAAACAGCATTATTAAGGCAGGGGAAATACTCTGAATGATATTATAATGGTGGATACATCATTATACATTTGCCCAAACTCATAGAATGACACCAACAGTGACCCTTATGTAAACTATGGACTTAGGGTGATGATATGTCAATATCGGTTCATCAACTGTAACAAATATTCTACTCTGGTGGGGGTGTTGGCAGTGAGGAGAGTATGCATGTGCAGGGGTGGGGGGTATGCGGGAAATCTCTCTACCTCCACTCAATTCTGCTGTGACCCTAAAATTGTTCTAAAAAATAAAGTCTACTAAAAATAGTATTTTAAAAAGTGGTTAAGATGGTAGATTTTATGTTATGTGTTTTACTACAATTTAAAAAAAACCCACTCCTCTGGTCTCAAAGAGACTAATCAAACTTAAAATATTTGATTTGCTTAAAACAGGTTGGAGCAAGTTTCTTACACCACCATTTAAGCCAATAAATATTGCCTTTAAAGTGTTTTTTTTTTATAAAAGCATGTTTGCGAGTACGTCCAACATTTGTAATTACAATGCCACACCATTTAAAAAAAATGTTTAAACAATGTTGTCAGGTGATGGCTTAAGCATCTTAAACTGTCTCTGATTGAGGCTGTTTCCAGTCTTCCTCAGTATTTTGTTCTTAATATAAAAAATAATATGAATAATATGAAATTGTGGGAATTTGGGGGACAGGTGCTCAAACTGTTCTGTATCTCGCTCTTGGTGGTGGTTGTACAACTGTATACATTTGCCAAAACTCCCAGAACTGGGTCTGGCCTGTTTGACTCAGTGGATAGAGCATCGGCCTGTGGACTGAAGGGTCCTGGGTTCAATTCCAGTCAAGGGCACGTACCTCAGATGCAGGCTCGATCTCCGGCCGTGGTTGGGGCACAAACAGGAGGCAACCAATCAATGTGTCTCTCACATCAATTTTTCTCTCTCTGACTCTCCCTCTCCCTTCCTGTCTCTTTAAAAGTCAATGGAAAAATATCCTCAGGTGAGGATTAAAAAAACACACCAAAAACTTCCAGAACTGTATACTAAAAAGTTTTATTTTATGTCATTTAAGCCTATTTTTTAATGGAAAAATAAGTTATTTGGTATTTTGCTTTGTATTTACCCAAATGAGTTGAATTGCAGATTTGACCCAGTTGTAAAATTCATCTCTTCAAGTGCCCCAAAAATAATCCACTTAGTCTTTGAGACAAACAAGGCAGATTTTACTGGAGATTTGGTTTGGGAAGAAGAGATTTACATTCCAAATCCTTCTCAGCTAAAGAGTTTCCATGGCCTCTGTCCAATTCTCCACTCTTGTCCCTTAGGAACCTACACGGACCCCAAATGCTTCTCCCTGGATTATGAGGACCCGTTTACCTCTCTGCCTGTGCCCTCAAATCTGCCTGTGCCCGCAATGCCAGGAGTAACTGCCAAGTGTTGGATGTAGCTGCAAACATGCCTTTAAACATCACTCTGCAAGTAATATTTATTGGTTTAATGGTGTTGAAAGTAAACACATCATGATGCGCAGAACAACTGTCCGGCGGGCAGTATCCATCGGCCTCACAGAGCATCAGGGGTGTGGAGGCCAAGGATGCCGGTGAGACCTCTTGAAAAGTGACAAGAACTAGCATGTCAAAACAAGAACGGAACAAAACTGCGACCTTGCAGCCCTCCTTTATCTCCAACTTCTCTACTAGATCCTTCTCTTAAGTTTTTAAACATGCTCAAAATCTGTTCCATCTTTTAGAAGAAATCCCCACCCCACTCTGCCCCCAGGTATCATCCTGTGTCACTCCTGTCCTTCATGGCCACAGTATCTAGTAAGGGCTGCCCCTGTTCTTCCTCTTCTCACTCCAAAAGCACTTTCCTGGCCTGGCCCCACAATCTTCTAAACGGGCTTTGGTTCTGGTCAATATTTTCTATGTTGATGAAAGCAGCCAATGCTCTGTAATACTCATTTAAATGGACCTGAACATGTGAAGCGCCATGTCAGTCATCGGTGACTGACACTATACTTTCCGTTTGGACCTCGTCAGTCTCCTGCGGCCAGCATATTGGTGAAATCGGGTATCACAGGCTAAACAGAAAGGAAGACAAAACGTGTTGAAATAACACCTGGCCCTGAAGAGTCCCCATGCGTGGCTCTCCTCCCCTCTGGCTCTCCCTGTCCGTCCCCTTTTAGCTTCTCCTCTGTCCACATCTTTCCGTGTGGTTCTCTAGGCTTCTCTCTAGACTACTTCCTTCCCTT